CAGTTTCAGGACAGGTAGTATTTTCGGGGAAACATGGTATAAGCACAGTGAAATTGTTATAAAATTAAAATACTTTGAAATGTTACATAAGGAAATGAATAGTAAAACTATCTTGAGTGCCAAAATACATTTTCAACCTTGTCTTACCTTTTCAAACTTCAATTTGACTGGTTTGGGATTGGTAGCTGTTACCGCTTCAGCAATTTCTTGACCAATTTTAAATGACTGTTCCTTGGTAGCTCCTTTCAGTAGTACAAACATGCTAAAACAAGAGAATTAGCTATTTAATTTTCCCCATAAGCAGCACAGCAAGAGTTTATAACATGGCAAAAGGCATACGGGAACTTTTGCACAAATTACAGTCCTCGATATCCAGAGTGTTTCTGCTTACTTTAGTCCTTTAGTTCTAATTTTGCTTTTCCTGGAGAAGAAATTCTGCCAACTTTCTATTTTACTGTTTGAACTAAATTCTTATACAGATTCAAAAGTTCTTATATGGTGTGTCAAATTTTTTAACTTTCAATTTCCAAACGTTAGGGGTGCTCAAACATGCCTTGGAGATTGTAAAGATATTTTGCTTACTTTAATATAATTTTGATGTGCTTGGTAAGTAAGTACATAAATATAACTTTTTAACATTGTATGTTTCATATGAATCTGTCTGATGTGATGTGATTAAAAGAACAAAAAACAACTAAACACAATACTGGCTGGCAAACTTCTTAATTACCTGTCTGTGTCCCCATATACAACCCGTGCTCCCCATTTCTTTGTATCATTCACTAATTTTATTGCACGTTCCAAGGTCTCTCTGGCTTTGTGCACAATACTATCAGCAATCTGGAGATTAAAAAGACATATTACAATAATCTTAGAATATTTTCTTTTACCTAAACATGCATTTACAATACTTACTACTGTTTATAAAATTATATGATTTGTTGTACACATCCTGTAAAATCTTTATAGCAAAGTAAAAATAAAGATGGATGATTAAACAAATCTGTTAACATACATACAAATTAGCTTTCTGATCATTACATTCAAAACACATTAGCAAAATATACATACTTATTCCTTGGAGCCAGAAATTACACAGATAAGAGAACCTTTCTTTTACTTCCATCAATTGGCACTCCTTGGATCTATGGGTTTAACAGTGCTACCCAAGTAGTTTTAATTGCTCTTTTGAGGACAAAGTGAAAAATTCTCTCCTCTATGGCAAATACCCACAGGGTGACAATAACAATTTCATAACACCTCTGCTGCAGATCTCAATAGCTGGAAAGGTTTATAACAGTTTATATGCCTCGTAACAATTTCTAATTTACTTAAAAGAATTACAGAATAGCAGAGTTAAAAGGGACCACCGTTGCTCAAGCAGGAGATCCTATATCAGTGATGGTAAACTTTTTTGGCACAGAGTGCCAAAAAGGTTGCGCGGAAATGTCGTGCATGTGCATTCATCAGAGCTGCACTCCGAAAAGCCTAACCTCCAGGTTCTAGCATGCACCCAACAATCAGCTGGCCAACATGCATGTGCAGGCTGGTTTTTGGCACTGCTTTGCGTGCAAAGGAGAGCTAATTGTCACACATGCACGCTCACCAGAAACCTGGAAGACAAAAGGCAAGGCTGCCCGTGCTGGGCAACATGGCTTCGCGTGCCACTTTGGACACACGTGCCAGAGGTTCACCATCACGGCCCTATATAGTATACCTTTCCAGACGAATGGCTGTACTATCTCTTCTTAAAAATCTCCAGTGTTAGAGTTTTGAAGGCAAGTAGTTCCACTTTTTTCTAAAAAGTCTTTTTAGAGTTAAGATATTCCGCAAAGCCATTAAATCCTGGCTGCTCCGGCAGGCCGGGGGGCTGTTGAAGTATCCAGCCCCACGGTAACTATGAATGTTGTGTATTTTAAATTGTTGTTTTGTCTATTTATCCCCTTCCCCTTTTTATTGTAAGCCGCCCGGAGTCCTTTGGGAGTGGGCGGCATACAAGACCAATAAACTAACTAACTAACTAAACTAACTTTTATATCATGGTGACCAAAACTAGATGCAATATTCCAAGTGTGCTCTTACCAAGGTCTGTGGTACTAGCACTTCATCTGATCTTGATTCTATCCCTCTGTTAATGCAGCCTAGGAATGAGTTGGCTTTTTTGGCAGCTGCAGCACACTCCTGGTTCATATTTAAATGATTGTCCCTCACAATTGCTACTATTGAGTCAGATATCACCTATTCTATACCCATGGTTTCGTGTAGTTTGTGCAGAAAAGAGGAACATAAGATAAGGGATCTGGAGACTAAACTATATGATGGACGGTTGTGGGAATTAGGCTCGTCTAGTCTAATGAAGAGAAGGACTTGAGTGACATGACAGCAGTTTTCCTATATTTCAGGGGCTGTCAGATAGAAGAGTGAGGTCAACTTATTCTACAACCTAGAATTAAGCAAAGAATTTCTGACAGATAGAACAATTAATCAGAACGGCTTGCCTCCAGAAGTTGTGGATGCTCCATCACTGGAGGTTTTCAAAAAGAGATTGGATAACCATTTGTCTGAATGGTATAGAGCCGTGATGGCAAACCTATGGCACGCGTGCCACAGGTGGCACCTGGAGCTATTTGTCGGGGCACGCGAGGCGCTGCCCTGTCAGCTGGCCAGCGCGCATGCATGCTGGCCAGCTGACTTTGGCCTTCTTTTGAGGCCATTTTTTGCCCTCCTGAGGCTTCAGGAGCTTCCCTGAAGCCTCCGGAGGGCGGAAAACCGGCCGTACGGGTAAACTGGAAGTTCGGGAACAGACTTCCGGTTTGCCCGTAGGGCTGTTTTTTTGCACTCTGGAGGCTTCAGGGAAGCTCCTGAAGTCTCCGGAGGGCCTCCAGGTGTGGGGTGGGGAGGCTGTTTTCGCCCTCCCCAGGCTCCTATAAAGCTCTGGAGCCTGGGGAGAGAAAAAAGCACTTCAAAAATGGGGGGGGCCCTCTGGTCGTGTGCTAATGCGCAGCGGTCATGCACATACCATTACGGGTATGACAGGCCCGCGTATGGCCCCCTGCGCACCCCCCGCTTTTTGCACACAAGCCAAAAAAGGTTCGCCATCACTGGTATAGCGACTCCTGCATGAACAAAGGGTTTGACTAAAAGACCACCAACCCACTTACTGTCCTGTTATTCTGTGTTCTAGGTGTTCTCAGAATTAGCTGAACTAAATCAGCATTCCTGTACTACAGTTAGTAAACCAAGACTTTTTGACTCCTTATGACTGCCTGGACAAGTCCCTGTAGTTTGCTTAGCAGGGTTTTCTGAAAGTTTTTGCCTTTTCCTAGGATCACTCTCTCCCTAGGGCTGAGAGTGATTGACTCAAGGTCACCTTTTGGCTTCATGCAGAAGTAGATCTGATAGGTTTCCAGTGCCTTAAGCACTATATAAAAATGAACCTCCATTATTGTTAACAAGTTAATATAGTGCTTTCAATTACTTACTTCACTACATGGCATCCTTCCAGAAAAATTAGCAGCAGTATAACCAAAAGTGACATTTGCTATAAGTTTAAGGCCAAGCTGACGTGCGTCAAGCATTCGAGTGATAGTTTTGTCAAGCTTGTAAGCTTTCATTGATTGCTTCACCATTATTCTAGTCTTTAAAATTTCTTCCAGCATTTTTGGCAGTACACCCTTTCTTACAGAAGGCTGTTGCAAAACAAAAGCAATAATTAAAAGGTTGATAGTCATAGCACTATTAATCCTCATGTAAATACTGTCTTTTTTTAGTGATATGTTGAGGCAAACTGTCCCCAAATGTCTCTAATACTTTAATTGACACCCTTCATGGTTTCCAATCAACTTTTCCATTTATTTATACATACACAGCTTGTCTCCATCCTCTTTCTTTAGGATAGTTTAGGACCACTTGTAAGTAGGGTAGCTATGGAAATGATGTATTATTTTCATTTCTTTCTTTGGGGTAGGGATATGTTACTTGCAATTCTGCAGCAATATGGGTGAATGAGCTAATATCTGAGTATTAAATTTTCCTTTTTTGTGAAATGAGTAATTAATTGTGCCTTGGGGTTGAATTTTGTGGTTGGAATTTGGGAGTTCAAATACAATGTCCAATTCCTACTCAATTTCTTATCTGGTCAATTTGCCCTTTGAGATTATGATAGCCTCATATGACAGCCCTTAAGCAGTCCTTTCATTTCACTATAGCTCTCCTCTGCCTGTTACTTTTCTTAGAGGGAGAAGATTAACGTGGTTAATAACAGGAAAGGGATCCAACAAAGTCAAAGCAGGAGAATTTTATGTTATTTCTTTTTCAATTCTATATCCAATTTCTGGTTAAAACTGAGTTTCTTACTTTAATTTTTTTTAAAAATTCTATGACTCAATAAGAATCAGAATCAGAGAGAACCTTCTCCCTTGTTTTTCTTTCTAAGGGTGAGTGACCAGGACTGAATCTCTTCTTTGGGTGTCACATCATTCTGAAGCCAAACACACTTGGGTGTTCCCATAGATAATGCTGCTCATCACACTTTTGAATGCTGAAAGGAAGACTAATTTTTTTAAGTTCAATACTGTTTATCAATACCTATTATTTTCTTTAAAATTCTATAATTTATTTCCCATAACTATTAGAGTATGAAACTGAATTTATTTACAATTAAAGACAAAATATAAACAAAAACTCACTTTTATAAACACAACATTATTTGCTAAATAAAATAAAGTACCTTAACAAAAGCTATTCCACTGGGTGAGATTGTGATATCATGTCGAAGCTGGTATAGTAGATCAGGAGACACTTTCAGAGATGTGCATCCAAATTTAAATTCATCATTTCTAAAAAAAAATAAGTAAGAATAAATTGTTCTAAACAGTCCATCTTTTCAGTCCTTCTCATGATCCAGCTTTTCCTGCTTGCAACCTCTATACTCATTCACTCACTTCTTTGCCTACTATTTTCTCCTTATCTATCTTATAATCTTTTTTGTCTAGTTTCAGTTAAATATAAATACATTTTGCCTCTTTTCAATTGAGCAAAAATACCAAACTTCTTACAACAGACTAAAACATCCTCAGTAATAACACTACAAAATAAAATGAACAGATAAAAGCTGTGCTATTAATTACAAGTTTTTTGGGGAAAAGGATGCTTTTAATCTATTAGCAACAGAACATAGAGTTGTACTCATAAATTTCTCTAGAGAAAAATACCAGTTTCTATTCTGTTGCTGAAATCTCACTTGTTTCACTTATTTCTCTCAATAAATTCAGATTACTAATCTTTTTTTAGATCAAAATAAAAATACTTCTTTATTCATGTAATAATTGTGATTCAGTCAGCAGTTATGTAGGATACCCTTTTAGCCTATTTATATGAATCATGTCATAAATTAATACAATTAGCAAAATATGATATATTTGAATCTGCACAGTCACCATGTTTTTTTCTTTATTTCTTTTTGTGTAAGCAAATGCTGTATCCAGATTGCCAATTATATCAACTAATTATATTGCATTTAAAAACTTGCATATATAGAGGTTGTCACTGACTTATGATCACAACTGCGACTGGAATCTTGATCAGTAAAGCAGTCATTGAGATTCCCATGTGATCAACACAATCCCAGCACTCCCAGTTGTTAAGGAGACAGACCAAGAGAGCTGCCTGCTGGGAGGACATCTTAACTCCATATGGAGCCGAGATTTGCTCCGCACTGTGATCAGCAGCCCTTTGATAGGTGAGAGTTCTTAGCCAAGAGCCGAGATTCCCTCACAGCAGGCAGCCCTTCAACAGTGACTCACTCTATGTACCTGTGTGTGTGTGTGTGTGTGTGTGTGTGTGAGAGAGAGAGAGAGAGAGAGAGAGAAAGAGAGAGAGAGAGAGGGAGAGAGGGAGGGAAGGAGAAGACATTTTGTGACTGGTCTTAACTGCTTCTCAGGCCAAAAAGCACCCTTTCTGAAGTCATTGTAAATTTGAACACTTGTTAAACAACTACTTCTTAAGCAAGGACTACCTGTATTATCTGTCTATAGGCAAGACAGTGTCTTAAAAGAGAATTTTTAAGTAGCCTAGAATCCTATAGTTTCTTATGTAATCTGAAAAAGAGTGCTAATCATTTATTCTATTAGTAGTACAACCATGCACAGAGATTTAAATGATTAATACTTACTTCCCCAAGTTTTCAATATGTCCCAAGCATGTGGAAAAGCAGTAATTGTATGCTATCACTATGGATGGGTATAGAGACTGAAAATCTAGCACAAGGACAGTATTACTGTAGAAACGAGATTCTGGCTCCATTATTAAAGGAATGCATTGAGGGGCTCTCATTTGAGCTCGCTGTTGAACGCCAGGTGTCACAGCAATGTAATTCATTGGTTTGGCAATTCGTAGCATCATTGATTCCACACGATACTAAATAAAACAAAAACTCATTAATTAGCAATCCAACCTAGAAATTGAATGCATCTTTATCAACGTTATGATGAACAAAAGTCCAACAACTCAGTTTATTCACAAATATTAATAATTAAAGGATACAATGGGGAGATCCCAGCATCAATGGCTGGTATAAGACATTAATCAGGAAACTAAAGCAGCATCCCATGTTATTTTTCAAAGGAACACTTATCTATTCAACAACACAATTCTGAGACCAATGGCAAGTGCCAGAGATAAGACAACAAAAAATATAATCTATCCTAGAACTAATTCAGGAACCAAAGATATTTGTGGCTAGTTATCTCTCTTTTCAAAGAGGAAGGATAGACCTGAATCAAAATAAATGACTGGCTAAAGCAATCTACAGCTCGTCTGTAACATGAAGTAATTATTTATGTTTACTATAATTCTCCACAAATTAAAAAGGATATGTTCATTTTTAAACAATTAAATCAAAGCAATTAAAGGTTACCTGTGATCCTCTTGTCAATACATGCAAGAACTGAATTCCAAACAGCCTTGCCATTTCACTTGTTCTGCCAATCAAATCCACTTGTTCTAATAGCTGTATATTCCCACGAACACGACTAATATAATAATCTACGATTTTCCACCTTTAAAATAAAAGCATTAATATGTAAAACATTCAAAACTAAATCAGAAGAGTATTTTGAAAAAAAATGCCAAGAATTTGATATATATTATCAGGTCAATGCTATTTTAAGTGTTGACCTGATACAGAATACAAATTGTCTTGTGAAGCTTTGAGACAATGTAAAATAATTGCAAGTTGAATAGATTAATTTTATTTGCTTACAATAGCATTGCCCTGTTAATTCATATCATGTAATTTTCATGCATTTCAGCCAATTCCATGGGAATTGTATTTTAAATATAAAGTAGAGTGGTTTATCAAGCTTACTGCATTCTTAATTAGTTGTATAGCCAATGTATTTTTTAGATAGCACGACATCTTTCTATTCAGTGAATAGACTTATAACAGAGCTAAAACACTATGAAAACAAGCAGCAGGAAGCCTCATATTTTCAACAAACTGAAACGGTCCACTTCTTCCTTAAAAAAAAAACCCTGAGACTTGTTATGTTAATATAGAACACCATTATTCTACCAGTCATGCAATATCTTTCCTAAACAAATCACAATTAAATATTGTTCAAGGTCCAGAATGACATTCCAAGCAGCAATTAATCTAGAATGCAAGTATAACCTTCTGTTCTCCTTTTCACGCCTCCAAAAGAAGAGAAAAAGACTGCAAGCAACTTGATCTACAAAATGTGCTGATGACATCAGGAAAATGAATTTGGAGGTCTGATCTATAATGCTGACCTGTTGATTTACAACTTCAGATTGGAACTTACAATTATAATTTCTCTTTTTTAACATATAATTGCATTCAGTACCAGGCAATTAAAATGTTCATTACAGACAATTACCGATAGATGTCTGCCTTGTTGTCAAACCAATCAGACAGAACTCGAGAAGTGAAGAGTGGGAAACGCTGATGAAGTATATGAAAGCTCACATTTTCAAATGTATAGTTGGTCAAAGCCACCTAAAAAATAGAAAATTTGGATGATTATATTTTTTCTATAGTTTATATCCAGAATATGGAATGGAATTACACAGAAATAGGTTGAAAACTGACCCAACATTTAATAGTTTCATTTTACAAAGAATTTGGTACAGAACAGGCAAAGATTCAGATTTCAAACACTAAATACTGACCAAAAACTCAGAACATATACCAGCAAAATGTTGGACGAAGTCAAGACAAACCCTTTACGCCACAGAGAGATACTTTGGGCTCTCACAGTGATCTTGAGCTTAGTGATCTTTGCATCACTAAGATAATCAGAAATGCAGCTAAAAATACTTCCCATCTCTATCAACCAATAACTAATATATTATTGCTACAATCTAATGAGCATTGCAAGAAAAACTAGATGGGAGAAAAATCAGCAAAAAATGTGCTTCAAGACAAATAGGCTCTATATTATATCTATCTCTGATTATTTCTATCTTAGTTCGCACAACGGACTTGTCCTTCTATGAAGCCAATCTGGGCAGTCATCAGCCTTGGATGCCTCAGCTGTAGTCAGATATTAAGGCGACATTACAATTTAAAAAATATCCCTGATCCAGTATATCTCACTAGCATAATTGCCCCTCCTTCATTCAAGAAGCAGGGACCATTTGCTTTTCCTCAAAGAATATGGAAAAACTACTTTTTACGTGAATGATAGTTACTACCTAATCATTACAAAGCGCAGGAAATCAATTCTAAGCACAGAAAAACAAATTAGAGTATAAAACTAATTACCATATTTTTCAGAGTATAAGATGCACCTTTTTCCCTCAAAAAAGAGGCTGAAAATCTGGGTGCGTCTTATACACCCAAATCTGGGTGCGTCTTATACACGGCGTCTTATACAGCATTTTTTCCCTCCCGAAACCCTGCCCCTTCACCAAAATGGCCATGCAGATCCTGTAGAAGGCTTTCAGAGAGCTCCTGGGGGCTGGAGAAGGCAGAAATGAGTAAAAAATGGGTCCCCAGCCCCCAGGAACACTCTGCAAGCCCTCTATAGGCTATTTATGCCTTTTTTTGGGGGGGGGGAGAGAAACGGGCCTGTTTTCGCAAAAAAACGGGCCATTTTTGGGAGGTTTGCAGTGCAAAAATTTGCCTCTTCAAAATCTTGGTGCATCTTATACTCCAAAAAATACGGTACAGCATGATTACAGAAACAGAGTTGATTCTAAAGTCAAAATATTTAGAAACTGGTGGTTACCCATAGGACACTGCTAGGGAATTCTGGGACTTTATATTCAATGGAAGAGAATACCGATAGTTCAGGATTGAACGGTTGGGAGATCTTACTGCTGAGCTTGGATGCTTGCTTGAAGACATTTCATTATCCAACTGACATCAATGCAAGTGAGTGTGGGGTTTGCTGCCTATTTATATGTAGTACTTGCTCTGCCACTTTGGTGGAGAAGTGGTTTTCTCATTGGTGATTCTTTGATTTGACTAGTTTTCTACATGATTGTGGAGTCCTTTGTGTTCTCTGAGGTTGGTGGTTTTCTTGCAGGCTGTGTGATTGTTCCTGCTTACCCTTATGCAGGCTGCTGGAGGGATGTGTAGCCTTTCTTAGGTTTTTTATTGTCTATTTTGTATAATGTGTTCTATGCATCGATTGACGACCAATTCATCCTTCAACAACTTCTTTGAATAAATTATTATATTCAAATTATACTCACACTTCAGACAAATGAGGCTGGAGAAGAATGACTTACATTAGAGGAGTATGACTTAGACTAACACTACACCGACAAGTTTAATTAATATATCTCAAGCAAAATAACACTAGGTTAGTAAGCATCTGGTCTTTAAACAGAATACTGCCAAAAGATTAACCAGGATATACTACTGAATTATCCAACAATAGGTATTTAGTACTATTTTGCTCTATCCAACCTTTGCTATTTCCTCATTTCCTCCACAATGCAATAACTCAAACCATGCAATTTGATTGGTATTTTGGTAAAGAAAACTCCATAAGCATATTTCTACCATTCTAAAAACAAGATGAGTAATTTCAGAATAAGCCCATTAGAAATATTATTTTATAATAATTTGAATTTATATACCCCTAATAATCTTATTGCCCTTTTCCTAGTTTAATAATTTTGCCAGATGTTACCTCATGTCTCATAATTCTCCAGATATTTAATATAACTCTTCCAACAATGTTTATTTCACTCATTGTATCTGCTCCATATTCATCTAGATCTGAAGCAAATCTGTTCTCTTTCTTATCGTCTAGAATAAAAAATAAAAAAAATTAATGACAAATACTAAATGTGCAAGTATCAGAACAAATCATTCATGCTTAAATCTAAGTTTATTATAATGGTAATAAACCATCCTGACAAGTTGTATGCTGTATCACAATTTAAGAATACAAACACAATTCTCAGTTTTCCCTTGCACTACTGAGTCAGGAGAAGAAAACATAACACTTTAAGAAACAGACCTGCATGTCTGAATTTATGTCATATATACAGTTGGCTTCACAGGTAATAAAAATCTTATTGTTTATCCCTCTGTGGCAATTATACTTCATATCTGCTGGGAAACATCAGGTTGCAAAGTAAGTATGGAGTAACGAGGTGACCTTAATTTAATCACATTCATATGCTGCTTATTTTGATAGCTGCATGTCCTATTTCTGTCCCTTACCAGAAATAAGGTTAGAAATATCAGTAGAATATGGATACAGCTACCTAACACCACACATTTAGTAATTCAAATTTCTCTATGAAACTGATGAATTAACAGCTTGCTAGAAGGGCAGAATGCACTCAGCCAATGGTCATTTCAAAAAATTGGACAGAAGACTCATAACTAACACATGGTTCACAAACACACCTGGAACACGAGAGATCATCTGACATAAATCAACATCCAGAGCAGCAGCTCTCTGTAAGAGGTATCCCCAAGAATGCATTTGGACTTCATAGCCTAACATAATATCTGGATCATACCTAAAAAGAGAAAGATATGTCTTCATATAACCAATTATTTAATTTAAATTTATTCATTAAAGCTGCAAATGCCACTAAATTAAATATAGTTGTTTGGTGAAGTTTAATTTCCTGTGAGGTACTGTGTGGAAAGGGGTACACAAATTTAATCTTAAGTACTGTGTACAGATAGTCCTTGACTTTTGACCACAATTGAGCCCAAAATTTCTGCTGCTAAGTTAAACAGTTATTAAGTGAATTTTGCCCCATTTTATGACTTTTTTTGCCTCAGTTGAGTGAATCACTGCAATTAAGTTAGTAACATAGTTAAGTGAATCTGGCTCTCCTTTGAATTTGCTTGTTAGAATGTTGCAAAAGGTGATTACATGACACCAGGACACTGCAACCATCATAAATATGAATCAGATACCTAGTGCCTGAATTTTGATTGTTGTGTCACCATGGGGATACTGCAACGATCATGTGAAAAACGGTCATAAGTCACTTTTTAAAGTGCCGTCATAACTTTGAATGGTCACTAAATGTGTGGTGTTAGGTAGCTGTATCCATATTCTACTGATATTTCTAACCT